TATCTGTTGAAGGAAATCACATCAGCATATCCGAGATAAAGCAATATGGGAAAGAGTTGAGATTTAAAAGCACTACAATAATTTGCTAGTAAGAAAGCATAATAGAAAACATAACACTAACACAATATGTTCTTTAGGGGTAGGAATGTTTGTCTTTTTGTTTACTATATTCCTTGTTTTTAGACTAATCTTTAGTGCAGAGTAGAAGTCCAGAATATTTGTTGAATGAATTCATGATTGAAAAAAATGAATGAGTGTGTGTGGATACAGAACATTCATCATGATTCTCCCAGTCATACAAAACACATCTATGATCCTGAGTATACAAAGGATCAACAATCAGGAATATGGAAAAGGTTCAGATTTCAGTACAGTGCACTGGGTTCTCAATATAAAAGTGAAAAAAAAATCCTGGTATTCAAATGTCTACAGTCTGGCATGGGAAAAGCAGATACAGGAGTAGTGCTGATAAAACAAGGTAAATGAAAAAAGAGTTACCTGTAAATATTAAAGGACTACTGGCTGGTTGATCCACAAATAAGTAACATCTGGGCATTATTTAAGAAGATGAGTGAGAGAACGCAGACACACAAACTCCTAAAGCCAAGACAGGGAAGTGCCAAAACTCATCACGCTTTTGAAGAACAGTAAGCTGCGGATTCCAAACTCTTTAGCCATAACCTGAAGCAAGACCTAACTTCAGGAGCACCTAACTTAAAAGAGTATTACAAAGCAATCCCTATCTTTGTTCATTTGATGCATTTTAATATTTTCTGATCCACAGCACCTTTGTTTTTTTATGGTGATCAAGAGGCACTAAATTGAGTTCAACATCATTTGTTTAGAAAACACTGGGTTTGAGCATGGGATAGAAGTGGCAAGTAGATCACTGAAATGGAAATACCAAGAGTGCTCTGCCAGTCAGCTTCAACCCTTCTCCATCCAGGTGGTTTGCTGCTGAGTCATAGTGCTTAGGAAAGGGCTAGAATCTAGGTCCCTCTCCTACTTAAAACAACTTAGTATGGCAGAAAACATCAGCGGAGATCTCCCTTTCTATATCAAGTCAAAGTGCAGGAAAGGAAAGTGCCACAGGCCTTTTCTTCTCTACTCTGGGTGTAATGCTTGGGGTTTACCACTATTCTAGCTAGAAGGATGAGGAGTACTTTGAAATGAAACTTTTTTCAATTTCTTGAAGCAGTCTCAGTTCCATCTATATCTGGATTTATCAGAGTTTACCGGAGTGGCATTGTCACACTGACTGAACTAACAAAAGCAATACTCTCTGTTCCTTCCTCTGTGAATCCCAATTGAATTTTGTATCCAGGATAGTCTTTGCTCAAGACTATGGATTGAGCACTTAAGATGTGCCAGGTTCTGCTCTAGTGCTAGGGACAACAACAGTAGGGACACAAAGTCCAGGTCTCCTGGAGTTTGTATTGAAAACAAACAAACTCAATACATACAGATAAGAATAAAAGCTAGAAAGGAAATAGTGTCTTTGGTTAGAAAATACCCTTCTATTTATTTATTTATTTATTTTGAACTGGAGTCTCACTCTGTCGCCCAGGCTGGAGTGCACAGTGGCACGCTCATGGCACCCTATACAGATCTGCTGAGCTCCAGTGATCCTTCCGTCTCAGCCTTCCAAGTAGCCGGAACTACAGGAGTGTGCTACCACTGCTGGCTAATATTTGATTTATTGTAGAGATGAGTTCTCGCCAAGTTGCCTGGTTCGAGACCAGCCACCTTAGGCAATCCACTTGCCTCAGCCTCCCAAAGTGCTGGGATTACAGGCTGAGCCACCAAGCCCAGCCTAGTAAATATTCTCTAAAGTAGACAGGGAAGGCTTTTTCAGGAGGTAACACTGAAGTTGAGGACTGAAGGATGAGAAGAAGCCATTAAAGTGAAGAGTTAAGGGAAGCAAACCAACAAAAAACTGTAATAGGCACTGGGAAAAAAAAGAAAGTGTCATTAGAAGACCAGCATATCTTGAGTCTAATAATGTGAGAGGGGAAGTTACCTGGAGTTACCAGATTGTTTCAGTAACTAAAATGGGAAGTCACTGGAGAGTGGGATCCCATTTGCGTTTTTAAAAACTTATTTTTCAGCTATCAGAGAATAGAATGGATAGCAGCACGATTAGAAGATGAGAGATGCTTAAAGAGAATAATTTCCAGGCCAGTAAATATGGAAGGTTAGACTAGGCTGTGGACAATGGAGATGAAGAAAACTAGTTGGATTCAAGGTGTATTTTGGAGGTAGAACCAGCAAGACTTACATTAGGAATTTTCTTAAAAGAGACCACAAAGAAGTGTATTGAAAATTAGGTGACAAAGTGAATGCATTAAAAGGAAAAGGACATTTTGAGGGAAGAATGAATGGGAGAACTATACACTAAGTAATAACCTAAAAGTAATGTATTGAAGTGGTCACATTTACAACTCTAATCCCATGTTCTACTCTGGGTCTTGATTTTTTTTAAAACAAGGTATTAAACCAAGGTAGAAAGAGAGAAGAACAAGAACTGCTTTGAGGACTTTTAGGGTCAAGAGTGGTAGCTCACACCCATAATCCCAGCACTTTGGGAGGCTGAGGCGAGAGAATCACTTGAGCTCAGGTTCAAGGCCAGTCTGGGCAACATAGTGAGACGTTGTCTCTACAAAAAACACAAAAATTAGCTGGACATGGTGGCACATGTCCATAGTCCCAGTTACTCAGGAGGCTGAAGTGGGAAGATCACTGAGTCCAGGACTGCAGTGAGCCATGATCGTGACACCGCACTCCAGCCAGAGCCACAGAGTGAGAACTCGTCTCAAATAAAAAAAAAAAAAAAAAAAAAGGATTTTTAGCTTTAAGTGGCTGAGCACAGGCTATTGAAACAATAGAATTTACGCGATGAAAATAATGGAGGAATATTTAACTGAGATCATATTCGTTAGAAACTGTGGTTATCAGCCTCTCTGGACATTAGAATACCCTGGGGAGTTTTTAAAAACTAGATGCCCAGGTTCCACTGGGGTGACTCTGGTTTAATTGGTTTCAGTTAGACCCAGGCATAGGTATTTTTAAAAAACTCCTTAGAGTGTTCTAATAAGCAGTCGGGACTGAGAGTCTTGAGTTAGAAGTATAGCACAGCTGAAGATGCCACATCAATAAACCTACTCCTTTTATGAAAGATTGATAGAGAGAATGGGTAAAGAAATCTTTGTCCCAGATGAAGCATATAGGTCTATTGGTTATATGGGCAAAATTCAAGACCACAAGAAAATACAAGTCAATTTTCTTCTGTATGATTTTTTTTTAAGCTGGGAGAAAATGGTATTCTCACCTTACTTGTTAAGAAAACAGGCACTCATATAGACATGACACATATTTTAAAATATTTTTTTCTATTATGAACATTAAAAAGGGGAAAGATTAACAGCTGATTGTTGCCTGAAAGAAAAATAAAAGAGAAAGTGAGGAATACCAATCTTGCTCAGACAAGGAGACACACAGAAAACAATGAGTTGCAGTGGAAAAGTGATCAAAAGAGATGGACAGTTATTTCTGAGACAAAAAATATATACAATTGTTAGGAGAATATACCTAGCAATGGGTTTGAATGTATCACATCACTGTTCTTTTTCGCAGCTCTTTAGTCTGTACCTTTCCAGGATGTAACTCTTGAATGAGCCACAGAATTATCAGAGGAGGTCCAAGAGCTAAGTAACTATTCTTCTGAAATAGAAACAAGAAACACAGTTCTTCCCCAACAAAGATTCCTGGTGGGTGAATGGGTAATTGAAAACCAGAGAAGTTCTACGATTTGTGTTACAGACTGAGTGGGTTTTTATGCCCATTGCCCAGAAAAACTGGGACTAAGCAGCTGTTGCAGTAGAGAAAGAGTTTAATAATCACAAAGCAACTGAGTGAGGACAACAAGAGATACTTCTCAAATCCACCTCCCTGAGAATTCAGAGGCTTGAGTTATAAGGATAATTTTGTGGGGCAGGGGACTACGGAATTGGGGCTGCTGATTGGTAGGGGATTAAATCAGAGAGGTGTGGAGATTGTCTTTGAGTGCCAAGTCAGCATCTGGGTCCGCCATCAGGTCACAGGTCTGGCTGGTATCAGACGGCCTACCATAATGCAGAGTCTGAAAAATATCTTAAGCACTAGTCAGGTTTAGGTTATCTACAGGAACATTTGAGGAAGTAATCGATTTTGTGAACAAATTTCTAGATGCAGGAAGAGGAATCTTTGGTGATCATAGCTACTCTGGCCCGTCAGCCTATTAAAACTTCTGGATACCATCAAGGAGGTTGGTGTGATCTACAGCCATGTTCCGTCAAAAGAATAATGAGTTTGTTAATCTTGGGTTGGGGTGTGGCTAGGATGTTCGTGGAGGGAGTAGAGGTCAAAGAGAACCTTATAATTTAGCTATGCTTATATCCTAACAGAATTCAGACCCCTATTAGAATTCTAGCCTTGTGCCCTTTTATTAATTTATATAGGCTTGCCCTATATCACTCAGTTAATTTGAGGTCACATTGGAATCTGAACCAGTTTTGCATTGTTTTTACTTTGCTCCATTCACACGGAAAACAGAAAAGGGAAATGTGTAGTGCAACTTCGAAATCTCCATGTCTGCCGAGCTCTAAGGGCCAACTGCCCAGGCTGGTGGTAGTGTATGAATGGTGCCGCCATGATAATTTGGTGGAATCAAACCAGCGCTGAGTCGAGCAGATAACACAAAAGTGGATTTTTAGTCTCAAGTGGGAGTGCCTACTTTAGGGAGTGAAAATAAACAATAACTGAGGAGTTAAGGGCAAGAAGGGGATTGAAAGAATCGCCGACGGTGGCGCGGTGGGTAGGAGAAACGAGGCCGGGAGACCAGATAAAACCTGTGTAAGAGTTGAGCCGGGGAAGGACACCTTCCGCCCCGAGACCGCCGAACCCACCCCCCGCCCCCACCACAGGAAGTGTGAAGCGAGGCGCGCACTACAAGTCCCAGAAGCCCCCGCTTCCGGAGCCCGCGCCGGGCCACGCAAAGCCCGCCGGGAGCCGGCCGCCACCGCCAAGATGTCGCAGGCCAAGAAGAGAAAGCTTGAGTCGGGGGGCGGCGGCGGAGGAGGGGAAGCCGCGGAGGAGGAAGATGGCGGGGTCCCGGAGGAGGCCCCGCTGCGGCCCCGGAGGACTAAGCGGGAGCGGGACCAGCTGTACTACGAGTGCTACTCGGACGTGTCGGTCCACGAGGAGATGATCGCCGACCGCGTCCGCACCGACGCCTACCGCCTGGGCATCCTGCGGAACTGGGCGGCGCTGCGCGGCAAGACCGTGCTGGACGTTGGCGCGGGCACCGGCATCCTGAGCATCTTCTGCGCCCAGGCCGGGGCCCGGCGCGTGTACGCCGTGGAGGCCAGCGCCATCTGGCAACAGGCCCGGGAGGTGGTGCGGCTCAACGGGCTAGAGGACCGGGTACACGTCCTGCCGGGCCCGGTGGAGACCGTGGAGCTGCCGGAGCAGGTGGATGCCATCGTGAGCGAGTGGATGGGCTACGGGCTCCTGCACGAGTCCATGCTGAGCTCCGTGCTGCACGCGCGGTCCAAGTGGCTGAAGGAGGGCGGGCTTCTGCTGCCGGCTTCCGCCGAGCTCTTCGTGGCTCCCATCAGCGACCAGATGCTGGAGTGGCGCCTGGGCTTCTGGAGCCAGGTGAAGCAGCACTACGGGGTGGACATGAGCTGCCTGGAGAGCTTCGCTACGCGCTGCCTCATGGGCCACTCGGAGATCGTGGTGCAGGGCCTGTCCGGCGAGGACGTGCTGGCCCGGCCGCAGCGCTTCGCCCTGCTGGAGCTGGCCCGGGCCGGCCTGGAGCAGGAGCTGGAGGCCGGCGTGGGCGGGCGCTTCCGCTGCAGCTGCTACGGCTCGGCGCCCATGCATGGCTTTGCCGTCTGGTTCCAGGTGACCTTCCCCGGAGGGGACTCGGAGAAGCCCCTGGTGCTGTCCACCTCGCCTTTCCACCCGGCCACGCACTGGAAGCAGGCGCTCCTCTACCTGAACGAGCCGGTGCCGGTGGAGCAAGACACAGACGTTTCCGGAGAGATCACGCTGCTGCCCTCCCGGGACAACCCTCGTCGCCTGCGCGTGTTGCTGCGCTACCGAGTGGGGGACCAGGAGGAAAAGACCAAAGACTTTGCCATGGAGGACTGAGCGTGGCCTTTTCTCCCACCTGCCTTCCAGGGCGGGTCTGGCCTGCGACGGAGAGGCGTAGGGAGGTCGGAGGAGAAAGGGAGATCCCACGTGCAAGTAGGGGTCAATATCCGTCTCCCTTTTCCCTCGTGGTCCCCGGGGAGGGAGAGTGACCTCAGTCTCCGTTTGAGACGCTTCTTCTGGCGATGTTTATTTTTTATAGTGATCCCCCCTCAACGACAGATACAGCTTGCTCGTTATTGAGCTTTGAAGCCATAAAAGCATATAGTCCCAAGCACTTGTATTTCCATTGATTTTGTCTTGGGGTGGAGACACGGATGCAAATGTTCATTTAATAAAGGGCCCATGCACATCCCTGACACCGCACACCTTATCTGAGTCTAAAGCTGGGAGAAGTGTAAGAAGGTTCATTTAGCCTCCATCAATTTCCAAAATGACTAATATCTCTCCAAAGCCATATTTGCTCAGTCTCAGAATTCCTCCTGTCTCTAGGTGCCTGTAGCCTGTGGTACTTCTCCCTGTTTTCTAAGTAAACGTCACGACTGGTAATGAAGTGAAAGAGATGAGAAAGCTCTTTAAAAAGCCCTATTTTCATGACTCTTTACTACGTCATAGTTGATGAGCACATGAATCCATTAAGTAAAAAGGGCTTTATGTAATTGTATTGCATACCTAAGAAATTCAGAAGGTACATTTAGGAGAAAAAAACCTGACAGTGAAGCAGGATGAATTTTTTTAAAAATTACTGTCTTCACTAATAAGAACCAAGAAAATATTTCATGTATGTTCCATAATAAATACTTTTGTCATTCTTATGAAAACAGGCTGACAGAGGTTTCTGAACTTAACCCAAAGGCTTATTCATCACCATGGGTAGATTGTTTAAGCTCACTTAATTAAGGAAAATATTTTCCCATCTAGAAAAGTGCACTCATTCTCAGTTAAAAACTCTAATTTAGAGGGCTCATGTGACTTGGCCTATTTACAAGTAGTGAAACTGCCTTTTTTAGTTTTTGGTTTTTTTGGGTTTTTTTTAGCTCAGCCAAATGTGAAAGTTGTGAATTTGGGAAAATCACTTGCAATGAAGTGTGAATCATGTTATCAAATTTATTTCACTGATGTTTCCCTCCTTTTCCCTGTAGCCAATAAAACTTTGACATTCTTACTTTTTCTAGAGCAAGCAAACTGCCTTGTGTACTGTCTGAGTTATAATGCTTTTGCCTTTTTAATATTGTTCGTTCTTAAAAGTGTTATAACTTCTTCAGAATATAACTTCAGGACAATCCAAACTATGCTTAATGTTTGGTTTTTGCATACCAGTAGCTTTTGTATGCTAATAGCATATAGGTGTGAAAGACATGTTCAGAAATAGTCTAACATTTGTATAACTGAGTTTTCTGCCCTTTTATTCATTGCATATTTAAGTATTAAAACTAGTTTGCTAAGGTTTGGTGTGGTTTAACATGAGATTTTTCATTATGAAGGGAGATGTACAAAATCATCAACTACACAAGATAATTGAATAGCAAGCAGTACGGCTATAATTGTCACCATTTTGATGTCAAGATAGTGAATGTCCTAAGTAAATGCTATAGTCATAGAAGCTAGTATTTGTGTAAGCTAGAGACCAAAAAAGTAATTCCTTATTTTAGGATCATCTGTACATCAGACATTTATTTAAAGTTTAGTATATGATTTTAAGTAGCTTTCTGGTGGTTTTGTTTGGTTTTTTTGAAACTTGCTTTAACAATCCCTTGTCTATATTGGCATATAGTCCAATTCTATTTTTCCAAATTCTTTTTAAAATGTATTTTATAAATACGAATACCGTAAAGTTAACATTGCTAATATAAGCACATAGGGGAACCTCAGTTAAAACCCAGGGAATTATAGAGGTAAATAAAGGGTAGGTATTTTATAGCTAAAGTAAGCTTCAAATTTTTTATTATTCTTCCTAGAAGAAAAATAAATTATAAAAATACAGCTACTGAAGCAATTGGTCAAGAGTTAACAAACAGCTTAATGGTTAAGAGCTTGGACATCTGGTTAAGGGTTTGGACATCTGCAGCCAGGCAGCCCATACCAGAGCCTAGGTTCCACCTTGGGCAACGTACTTAACCCCTTTTTTATTTTTTCCTTCAAATCTCTCACATGCAAAACAAAGATAACAATAGTGCCTAGTTGATAGAAACCTGAGGATACAGTGAGTTAATGCATGTGACTACATCTTGTCTGGTACATAATAGCTCTCAGCAACTCCTCAGTGTTGGAAAAGTTAGGCAGACCTAAAAGGAGCAGGTGAATGCGTAAAAAACATGCAACAGAATAAATATTCAATATTTTGATTTTTTTACAGGTAATTGTTCAACTGTATCAGCATGGCTGTATATGAAGAGCAATGTATGACCCTACACCAGATGATATAAAGGAAACCCAAGACCTTTGGAGTGAGGACACTTCCAGAAGGATGAAAGTGTACTATGTATTGACATCCAGGCATTGTCTGGGTGAACTGGTACTGGTGGCTTGGAGCCAGTGGGCCCACAGGCAGGAACTACCAGGGCCAAAGGAGAGGAAAACATGGTAAAGTCTTACCTGCTTCTCTCAATAGCTTATATCTATTTAGCACTGTGAAATTTTCCAGATATTTTTATTAATTCATTGGAACAATGGACATCTGATAGAGTATACAGTGTACCAGTCATTGTGATAAGCATTTTAGACACTAATCAATAAACACAGTTTCTGCCTTCAACTGATATGTGCATAAGATAAACTGGTAAGTCCTATAAGTAATGAATAGCTAAAGACTGGGACAATTTTGGTGTTAGAAAGGGCAAGTCATTACCTCCACTTTACATACCAGTAAAGTACTAGTAAGTGACCCACAGATACCGAAGGATACCTAGCTAGTTCTTGACAGCTGAACCTTGAACACCAGTCTTTTAATTCCTGGCCCCCAAAGAAAAATTCACTTTAATTATATGAATCTTCCATGCTTTAAAAAAATGGTACATATTTCTTGAATGAGTAACAACAGTTTTTACTGCTTGATGAGTGAAAGAAAGGGAAAAGTCCTTAGCCTCAGGAAGTCTCATTGAAGATGTATCTCAGGCCTCCAAGAACCACTTTCCATATATAGGATCTTGGGGTTGACAAATACCAGGCATTTGTTGAAATACCCCTCATGCCCATTCCCTAAGAGCTAATCAAATGCATTCTTTCTGAGACCCCTAGAAGATAGTCTGCAATACAGGAAAGGTAGATGAACTCTGCCATTCTGGCCATAAATACTTGGAACTAGAGAGCAGAGTGGTATCTGATAAGGCTAAAGATGGGCAGAAAGTTTAAGAAGGTGAAGTGTAAAGGACAACTCCAGCAAACAGAACTGCCTCATATTTGGCTTAAGGCCAGCCCTGTTGGTGTCTTCATACTTCACGCTACCAAAGCTGAGGAGAGATGGATCTTAGGATGCCCTTGTAGATAATGAGGTCCCCCTCCTACATATGTATCTTTTGGTGTATTTATCCGTTATTTAATGATTTAGTAGACACCAACTATTAAACATGCAAGTTCCATGATTAAGCAAGTTTTTCTCTCAAAGAACCAGTATACAATACAGGAAACAAAATTGTCTAAATCAATAATCTGCATACATTTTTTAACCTGGAAAACTGAAGGTTCACTGAAAGCCCACAAAAGCAGCTTAATTGGGGGAAAAGCATACAAATTTATTTAACGTGTACATGGGAGTCTTCAGAATGAAGACCCAATGATATAGAGGTTTATCAATTTTTACATTTAGATTCAACAAGCATGGACAGCCATGTAGAAATATTGGGCATAAAGGATATCTAATGGTGAAAGACTGAGCTGGGAAGGCCTGTTTTTCTAGGTTCTTAACCTCTGTGAGCAGCATACCTTTCTTCTGGGTATAGGGCAGGACCTTCTCTAGAATGGGAGTCTCATGGAACCTACAGACAAACAAGGTAGATCAGAGAATTTCTTCGTGGCCAGTTAACAGGTGGAGGAAAGGTGAGTGTAATATCTTCAGGTTTTATGACTGTCTTTGGGGAGAAGGGGTTCTGGTCTCTGTAACCTGCCTTGTGGAAGAGAGATTGTAAATTCTATGACTAGCCTCAGGGGAGAATGAGACTAAGAGACGAGGGCAGAAGAAGATGAGAAAAAAAGTTTGTTTCTGAAGCCTTCATTTTGGAGTATTGTTTTCTGAGCTCCAGTAACATTCCAGCTAAATCTTACATCTGTTGAGACAAGGTTGAAAAACTAGCCTGCTTATCCTTAAAACTTCTCCCAAAAATGTTAACTTATCACAAAGATTATGAAGTTCTTAGAAAAAATTTTCTGATATTAACTCCCAAAATAAGTATATGTCCTCTAAAGAAGTTCTTTGTTTAATGGATGCAGAATGTTGAAGAGGTGACCCTTCTCACATCGGCTACTAGAGAGCTGAGCCGAATTTGTGCCTCACTTTTAGCTTTGCATCTGGCTCCACTTTCATACTCCAAAATTCGTCTCGATTTATCCTCTCTCACTTATAATAAATATGTTTCACTGAAATTTATATAACCTTGCTCTCCTAATATTTTTTGGCATAAAAATACTTTCCTGCTTTCTGTATTGCCAGCAGAAGCTCTGAGAGTAAGGAGATTAGAGAAAGGGTCGAGGACTCTGAGACTTTTCCTGCAAAGGGCGGTGCCCACATTGTTCATGTGGATGGATAGCTGATGTGCACTTATCCTTTTAACCAACTTCATAGCATTTTACATTTTACAGAATCAAGATTTCTGACTTTGTGAAAACTGTGAGGCATGTAGACAATTTGAGGAAACCTTGAATGTTCTGCAGCTCTAAACCTAAAACAGACTTGATTAAATCTTACAACAGTAAAGAGACTTGGCGACTTCCAAGCCTTTTCAAAAATATGTCAAAACAGTATAAGCAATGATAAGAGGAAGAGGATATAATAAGACTAGTTCTTAAAATATCTATCATATCAAATATGCGTGTAGGAAAAGACATTTGAAACAAAGAATCTTGGGCCTGATTAAACACTAAGAGAATTTTAATAAAAATTAAGACACAACCAGTAACACTGGAATTGTACTCCTTTGGAACCTTTGATGATTAAGTTCATTGTTGTTGATAATAACTATAGCAGAAGACAGGTGACAATTTCAGTTGATTGAGTGACTTTAAATACTTTTAAAAGACACTTGGATACAGGGACCTGAGAGGAAGAAAAGAAAAAAATTCCTCCTTTTGTCTCTCCAGGCTGCCCCTGCAAGAAAAGGAAAAGCAAGAAAAGAAGATGAGATGGAAGGAAAGTTTCCCCAGGTGTCACAGCATCCCTGCAATCACGTGATACTTGTTTGTGAAAAACCCTCACATTCTGTAGAACTGTTCAATAAAAAATATAAGGGAAAAAATAACTGAATGAGCCATCAAAACCTATGTAACTTCATAACCAAAAGTACTAAAAAAAAATAGTAATTCTAGGAAAAGTAGTTAACAGTTAAAAAAATAAATTCCTAATAAAGAAACGCTGCAGTAAAAGATAGCTTGGAGGAAGAAAATAAGGAAGACATAAAGTAACATTCACAGATATGGAAGAAGGCTAATAAACATTTCTAAGATGGACTGTGTCCAAAAAGTCAGTGGGAAGAAGGGAGGGTACAAGACACGCCTCCTTGGCTTGCCGTGTTCTGCTGCCTCAGTGTGCCTCATGTTCAGGGGCTGTTACCTGGTGGTGTGAAATATTAGAGATGGAATTGATCTCATATGAATCGACCAACTTCCAAAATATGCTAATATCATTCTTCTACTCACCAGTTGAACTCATTCATTAAAAAAAAAAAGAAAAAACATACATTGTAGCAGAACATTCTGTCTTTTGCTCAATTTCCAGAACTTAAAGTAGTTTGAAATTCCATTGGATTTAAAGATCTTTTCATTAACATTTTCTTGAAAGGGACAGAGGATTGCAGGAGGCTCTAAGCACACTTTAGTTTGAATTTATTTTATTATTTTGGTCATGAAAAAGTCAGTCGTCAGAGTGAATACAAATTCTGACTTTCATAGAGTAGAAAAAAATAGCTCAGTCCAACGTCCTCAATTCAGGAGATGATTGAGTAGATGTGATCAGGGGCTTGCGTAGATGGGAAAGCTATTTTTCCACATCACAAAACAGCATAAAAACATCTTGGAACCAAAAAAGCCTGAAGTCAGTGAAAGGAGCACAGAGATGAAGGTTTGCCTTCCCTCGCGGACATTCTACCTACATCACAATTGCCTTAGGGTAAATTTTTTCCCTTAAATCGTGAGTTTATAAAATAACAGTATTTTGACTGATTATAAACTTGTTTATTTTGATACTTGACATTGGCCTTAACCACTCTTTTCAGCTTAATTT